ACACCTATCTGTTTATGCTGAAAACTCAAAAACATCGGAAAAGTTCACAGGGAAGGTTTGAATAAAATCATTGAGCAACATTCGCGTAATGAGGAATCGAGAACCTCTAATTTATTGTTAATTATTTCCTGCTAAACACATACACACAAGACAAAAATAGTTGATATTCAACATTAATTTAGTTTGCAAATCTTAATTAATAATTAAATAATTTCGTTAGTATAATAGAATGTGGAAATCACAACTAAATGTTTGGTTATTTATTAAAATTATGAGATATTCTAATTTTACCAAACAATTTTAAGTCAGGAAATAGGGAATAAATGTAATTATTTTTGCTATGATTAATGAGGGAAACGAACTATGCAGGGTTGTAGGAAACAATCCAGGGAGCAAAATGTACTCTAAAGTATAACACTCCATTATTTTTCAACACAAAATAACGTCGAAAAAACTAAATCTACTTCTATGCGGCTCTAGTGCAATTTCAAACGAAACACTAAACATTCAAACGCCGTTTAAATTGAAATATGTAAATTTTAGATAATCAGTTAAAATCTCAACATGCCTGATACTATTTTCGATTTTCAATTTCAATTAGCTATTGCTTGAAAACTATAAATGCGCCAGAATCCACTTTGCAGCCACACAATAAATAAATACATTTTTCGTTTTTTTTTTGCAATTTTCTTGGCCAAAAAAATTCGAATCAAGTTCGTTTGCAATCCATATTGTAGTCAATCTAAATTAATCCACAGTTGTCCACGTAGACCGAAGAAACGAAATTTTTTGCATTGTCTGCAATTTTTTCGACATCATATTTATTTCGCAAATAATTGAGTTGTTATACTTTGTTTCCTGTATCGTTTCCTACAACCCTGTATAGTTCGTTTGCTGTTATAAATTATCGCATTTTGAAAGCCCTATTTCCTGCCCTATTTAATTTTATTATTGCTAAGGTAAAATAAAATACATAAGAGATTTTAAAATGAACTTTACACATACATTTTTTGGATTTAATGAAGAAAGTAATTTTATAAATATTAAGAAGTGTAATTTAATGAAATTAAATGAAATCTTATAGAGATACAGATTAATATTAACTTACAGTTAATTGTACTTTTGTTTTGCTTTGTACTGTACCATGGAGATGCAGATGGTTATTCTATTTTGTAAAATGAATTATAACTTTTTACAAAACAAGTAGGTATCAAAAATTACATGACTGTTACGATACAAAATCAAATTAAAACATTAACAATATAAGTAAAAGTAAATTACTGAAATGCATATTACTTTTAAGTGCAATAAATTCATACAAAACTGTAAAAATAATTAATTAAATATTTCTCAACTAGACCCTTGATCTGACAAACTACTTTCTTTTTTCTCTTTGTGCTGATTTTCCAATTCTTCCCATGGATTTTCCAAGAAGGATGGATGCACGTACATGTTTATATCATATTGCTGCAAAAAGATTCATTAATTGAAGGGACTTCTCATTTACTTATAAAAACATTTTAAAAATTAATAAGTCAAATATTAATAGTAATTGTATAATCTCATATCTCTGGCCAATTTTACTTACTTTTTTTTGTTTGCAATCTGTGAATGAAAAAGATTTAGAACAATTTCCTTTCGAATTATTAACCAATCTTTGATTGTAACTACCTCCTTTATAATTCCTCCTATTATATGGATAATTAGATGAATCATTTTTATAGTTCTCAAAACTATTCCATTTGGTTTTGTTCCATGATCTGTTAAAACTAATGGGACTCGAAGAATTATCAAATGAAATGTTTGAATTTTTTTTGTTACTTCCAATCAAATTGCTAGAATTATTGTTACTGTTATAATTATTATAAAACCTCTGTTTTTCTCCCTTATTAAATGGAGAATTATTTGTCAATTTTTCACATGTCTTTGTTGGAGTTGAAGTTGAATCAAATGGAATGAAATCTGTGCTGGTACTGGTATCGAAATAAACAAATCCAGGCGAATTTTGCGAGTTCCAAGAAAGATTCATGTCTCACAAAAAAAAATAGACATTTAATACAGTACCGTTTATTAGTCCCTAAAAATTATTACTTTCAACTTTAAAAGGTATATTTACATTAGATCCTTACCTTTCCTATAACCAACTTCTAATATAAAACAAAAGGAATCAATTTTAATATACTTTTTGATAAACAATAACCTCTAACCTCTATGACAACTTGACAATTGGAAAATAACAATAACCAGAAATGTTGACGAGATGTTCACGACCATAGATATACATAATGTTTACATAGATATTTCACTTTAGATCGTGTATGGTTGTTCCTCAATTGAACAGATGACGCGGATAGCACTGTCAGGAAGAAAAATTAACAATTAGTATGAAGGGTTGCATAAGCAAAATAGGTTTTGTTTCTAAAAAATGTACTATAGATTACAGATACATAAACTATCGTAAGTGTATATATCTTTGATCTATGGAAATATACGTCACCCATAGATAATACGTCGCCTCATCTTTCAAATGATTTATGACTATGTCTGTTATCTATCCATAAGGAAAGACGTGCAAAATAAAAATTGCCTTCGTAATAGTAACCCGAAAAGTGGTTTCGTATGCATATTCATCATAAGAACACTGTTATTAGATAAAATAGGGGCAGCATCGTTAGTGATCGTTGGGAAAACAATACATTTTCATAAACCTGTTGGCGGCCTGTGAATTCCGATACAATTTTTTTGTACTTGTGAATGTAAACATTGAAAATTCCGCCAAACTGTGTCGGAAAAAGGAGGAAGCAGATATTCAAAAGGTATGCACGTAAAGGATTAGATTAAAAAGAGGCGATAGAGAAATGTTGCATAAAACTATAGACCAATTACCTAATATCTGTAAGTGAAAGTTGTTCAAAAATTACAAGAAAGTTACGTAGGTATTGCGGCTCAAAAGAAAATATTAAGACTGAAACCGTTGGAAATATTATGTTAATAGAAGTTAAGGTAATATAAACAAATGCTCGTATCTCTTTCATAAAAATATGTAAATACACCTATATATATATTATACATACAATTAACAATAGTAAATGATGCTCCAGAAACTAATTTCTTAGATACCACAACTTGCTTTCAATAGACAATTTATAAAAGACGTTTCAGAAATGACAGAGGCAGAGCAGCAGAATTAATGTGGTACTTACCTTTTGATCATTCTGAAACTAGCTTAACTAAATATGTAAATTTTCAACATACCAGCTACTAATTTCGCTTATTAATGAATACTAGATTGTGTATATTATTTTACTTGTCACCAATGTCTCTAACTTTATTATCACATTACTACTTTAAAATGGTAATTAATTACTTTTTGTAGCACATTTCTGTAGACTGTTAAACAAATGGGAGGCAATCGGAAGTTAATTTTGAAGTCACTGAAACAAATTATCTGCAGTGGTATCTCTCCTGGATTTGGTTTGCTCATTACAGTTGTAGACTCCAGAATGCTACCTTTTGCAGTTAATTAAGGTGAGATTACACTACAGCTAATCAAGGTGAGAATATGTAGTACAGTTAGTATTACCTGCATGTTATTAATTATTTGTCATTTTTCGCAACAGAAGACTTCCTGGAACATTGTGCATGAGATAGCAAACGTGTGTTACTTTTTTTTTAAAATAAATGTCGAACTACCCAGTTAAAGTTGCATGTTTTGGGAGGTTTCAGTCTTTCTAATTTTTTTCTGAAAATACACTATTGCCGGTTATAGCGCCACTACAGTTTTGATTCTGTTATTAGAATTCATAGAGAAGCTTATTTTGTATAGCAATAATAAAAATTTACTTAGTGATATGATTTTCCATCAACACAGTATTAATTGACGTAATTTGTTGATATCTTTCTATAAAATTTGTGCATCTTGTCCATCTTGCCATTTTGTATTCAATGCGACACTACGTCGCCATTTTTTAAATTTTGCAATCTTGCTTTTCGGTAGGTATTTTCATTGTATTTCATGTTTTTATCGATTAATGGTGTAGTTTATTCATTTTTATTCTCTATTTTTACAGATTGACCATAACATTAAGATACCAAGAATGGAAGAGTGTTCATTTTAATGTTACTGAAAAAGCTGCATGTATGCTGTGCCGTTCTATCTGCTTACTTATCTTCCTAAAAAATGTTGCACTTAAGGTGAATATGTATGCTATATTATTTATCAAGTATATTTATCTGATATTAACAGAGAAAACAGTTCAGCATTATATCAATTTTTTAACCATGTATAATGCATGCTATTTACTAGGAAGACTTATTTATATATATATCCTAATACTTGGTAGCTTTTATTTNTTATGGTTAATCTGTAAAATTGGAGAAGAAAAACGAATAAACTACACTATTTATCAATAAAAACATGAAATGCAATGAAAATTCTTACCGAAAAGCAAAATTGCAAAATTTTAAAAATGGCGATGTGGTGTCGCTTTTAATACAAGATGGCAAGATGAACTTGATGAACAAGATCTTTACAAGATGCACAAATTTCATAGATTCGTAAATAATTAAAACTATAGAACATAGATGGAAAATCATATCACCAAGCTAATATTTTACGTTCAAATTAAACTTTCTATGAATCATGACAGAATCGACAATATAGTGGCGCTATAATCGCTAATTGTCTTTTCAAAAAAAAAAATTGACTGAAGTCTCCCAATACATGCAATTTTTAGGAAATAGCAGGTAGTTCGATATTTATTTTAAAAAGAAATAATGTATGTCTTCTGTCGCGAAAAGTGACAACAAATTAACAAGATGAAGTTAATGTTAATTGTACTACATATTCTCACCATGATTAGCATGTGTAACTTTAAAAAGTTCATACATGCAAAAAGAAAACCAAATTCAGATAACTAAGCTCACTTCGCTATTGACATCAAACTTATCATGGTTTATTATGACTTGTTGTCGTTTCCATAGATAAGAGATGTATGTATCTCGTATCTAAAGTATAAATTGTATCTCATATCTATGTCTAAATGACAAACATAAAAATTTAACTGATAGGTTATGATGTATCAATTTTTATTTTTGTTTATAGCTGCGGTGTACAATAACAATACAGAAATGTAGACCACAATAATAATAGGTACAAATGGATTCGCAAATAGTAATTAATAAAGAAGATAGTATTGATAAGCAGAACCAATCATTTAGTTATATTGCAATTCCTATTGATGCTTTAGATTTATCAAATCAAGAGGTTCAAACATTCCTTTCACAAAATATTATAGTAAAATCGCTACCTGACAATAAATTTTGTGTTGTCGAAACATCCCAGGTTAGTAGTAATTTGATGTTGAAAGAGCACATAATTAATTCTTAATTTTTAGAATACCACCCGACCTACTGTAATTGAATATGGTTGTAATTCTGATCCAACGTAAGTAACTGAAACTTTTGGTGTTCCTAATTTGCATATACTATTTGCTTTTAGTGACTTACTTCAAAATACACACATTACGCTTTCTACTTCTGAGAACAACAACATCATACAGCAAGAACTAGGACAAAATACAAGTCCCAAAGATGTCCAAAACAAGAAGAAAAAAAAGTTCCAGTGCAATGTTTGTTCAACAAAATTTAAAAATCCCCAATACTATGAAAATCATATGGAACAGCATCACAAAAAAAAGAAATACAAATGTGATCAGTGTTCTGCTAGCTTTAATGTACAAGACAATTTTAGGATTCATACAGCAATGCATACTAAAGGTGAACCTGCTTGCCCTTTGTGTGACAGAAAATTTCAAAGATTAGCGAGTCTTAAATCTCATCTTCTTTTGCATCAAATTGAAGAAACATTTACATGCAGTGATTGTCAATTAGAATTTGAAAACGAGGTAGGAAATTTATATAAGCTGGGATAATATCTCATCCTGACAAGGAAAATGTACATTTAAATATTTATAAAATTTACAATTTGTTAAATAGATGTCTACTCTTGTTTAGGACGAATTTAATGACCATGTAGCTTGTCATCTAAGTGATTTAGTATCTAACAGATCAGAAGGAACAACACTGAAGCGAGTTTGCAGTTATTGCAATTCTAATTTTGAATCATATAAAGAGTATAAGGAACACATTTCTTATCATATAAAGGTACATCAGTTTCTTATACAATTGATTTACTTAAAAAAATAAGTGCATTTTTTGTATAGGTAAATCGGTTATTGCATAGTGCCAAGAAAAGTAAAAGAAAAACAGTAGACAATTTGTTGTTTGAGTGGTTTCCAAATCAGTTTCCAATGCCTCCCATTTTCCAGGTCAAAATTAACTGCAATTCATTCTAATTTCTTGGATAATCTATAGAAACGGGCAAGAAAAAGTAATTAATTACCACTCTTAAAGCAAATAAATCGGTAACATGTACACTAATGAAAGGATCAGTTCAACAGTAATTCTGCTGTTCAGCATTTGCCATTTCTGAAATGTTTAAAAGTTGCCTGTTGAAGCAAGTTACAAATGTCTAAGAAACTAAACTTTCTGAGACCTCATTTACAATTTTTAGTTAATACTGTTACTTACCAGTTCATTGTCCCAAATTCCTCCTTTAGCAACAGCACACTGCCTCCATTTCCAATTGAAAAAAGGCACTTTATAGCATTCTTTAGGACCATATTCACATTTGGACCTCTAGCGGCAAATAGCTGAACTAGTTTGGTTCTCTAGTCTGTCGCTAGGGGGCGCTGTGATCGCGATGGACTGGCGAGTCAAATTAATTCAGCTGTTTGCCCCTGGTGGTGGTTAGCCGAACTTCTGTAGTTTGGAGGTCTGTCGCTAGAGAGCGCTGCGATCACTATGGTTTACTTGTCTAGTTCAGGCGTTTGCTGACAGAGGGCGCCAGTGGTATAGGAGGTAATAATACTGATACGGTGTTCGAAACTATCATTTGGCATATTCGGTCGTAACTTTAAAAGGCAGATAAATTCACTGCTACATTGCTAAAACACCGAAATAATGAAAATCCAGTGATAATGTATTTATTTATTTATTTAAACGCAATATTTACACTTATTAGAACAAACGATATTTATTTCAATCAACTGTATAATAGATGATACAATAATATATGTAAGAAATAACAGTTCCTAATGATACAAATGTTAAAAGACAAAAATATCTGCAAGAGAAAGACAAGAAAACAACTGAAATTTCAACGAAAATACAATAAAAAGCGTTATTTTACTCATAGACTGTCACATTTTAATTTAAACACTAGATTAGGGAGAAAAAAGCCTCCCTAACCCACTGTGGCCTCCACATCGCCCCTTATAGCCACCCTATCCGCCCAAATTATTATTATAACAAATGTTAACAAACAATTAATTTAATTTTAACGATTATGCCAAAAAATCAATTTAGAAACATTTTTGATATGAATGTAAGTTACGTATATAAAAATACAACAGTTTATAGAGTAAACAACAAAATACCTGTAAGAGAAACGCAAGAAAACAAATGCAATTTCAAAGAAAATACAATAAAAAGCAAAAAATACGATGTCTTCAGTCTTCTTCGATTACCTGAAAGCGAATAGTGCAATTACAAGGACTAACGACAAATACTAATAGCTTTGGTAGAGAAGATCGGACAGATTTCGCCAAGGCAAGCTGGGCAGTCGCCTATTGCTCCTATTCCAGATAACCCACTGTACCCTGTCTGAAAGGAAGTAACGCTAGAGTAGACTCGCGAAAAGTGTATAAGACACTTTTAAGATCAACTAAATAGCTAAGCCCAAGGGAAGTCGTTCGGGGAGGCCCTCCCTAATTCCACAAGGGTGAGAAGAAACACACACGATAACGAAACGTTGAATCATGTAGAACTCGTAGGGTAAATGCAAAGCAAATTAGGAAGAATATGCAGTAAGCTAAGCGAAGAGGTAAGCAAAGTTAGACTATACTACAACTACTAAACGTGTTATTTCTACTACTACATACAAAATAAAAATAAAAACATCTACAATCAACAATTACTTCTAATAAAATGAACAAAAATAGGCATGCAAAATAAAAACTAATACAAATTAACTACAAAAAAAAAACATGCAAAATTAAAAAGTAATTTGAATAAAATGAACTTCATGAATTCTACTAGATAGAACATGCAAGATAAAGAACTATTTTAACCACGAGGTCATCTTTGTCTTCTCCAACGTCGATCTGAAACAGATACGGTGGTAACAGATTAATAAAAAGCAATTAAAATTAATTATATCAAGTATTCTCACCTTAATTAATTGTAGCACGTAACGTTCCAAAGTTTACAAGTGTGAAAAACAAACCAACTCCAGTAGAAACACCCTAGCAGAAAATTTGTTGTTTCAGTGGAATTCAAATAAATATCCAGTTGCTCTCACTCATGGGTTGAAAATTAACTGCATAATGTTGCAAGGCGAAGACGAAAACAGCAAATCATTAATATAGTTCACACAAGACCACACCCATGTAGACATTGGTTGTTCAGTATGACCAAACTGAACTTTAAGTCTCTCTCATTCGTTGGACGATCTGTAGAAATTAACAGGAAAAACATTAATTTCAATATTAACTAAGGATGAGATTAAACACACCTAAAAACATGCACCAAAAACTAAGTAAAACAGCTAAAAAGGCAACAAGCGTCAAGTACAGATGATTAAAGATCACATTTGACAGATAAACGTGAACTAATCATAGATTTTTAAGCTGTAAATCATAGATAAATGATAAACGAAATACCATAGATGTTGTGAATAATTGATATTTATAAATGTTATGTATACGCCATAGTCATTTCATACTGTCTACTATAGATAATTGTTAGAGATTACTGAAGAAACATTAATAATAATTATCATGTATTCTCACCGTAATTATCTGTAGAAGTTAGCGTTCTAAAGTCTACCAGTATGATGAGTAAACCAAATCTAGGAGGGATGCCATTGTAGACAATTTGTTGTTTGAGTGGTTTCCAAATCAGTTTCCAATGCCTCCCATTTTCCAGGTCAAAATTAACTGCAATTCATTCTAATTTCTTGGATAATCTATAGAAACGGGCAAGAAAAAGTAATTAATTACCACTCTTAAAGCAAATAAATCGGTAACATGTACACTAATGAAAGGATCAGTTCAACAGTAATTCTGCTGTTCAGCATTTGCCATTTCTGAAATGTTTAAAAGTTGCCTGTTGAAGCAAGTTACAAATGTCTAAGAAACTAAACTTTCTGAGACCTCATTTACAATTTTTTGTTAATACTGTTACTTACCAGTTCATTGTCCCAAATTCTTCCTTTAGCAACAGCACACTGCCTTCATTTCCAATTGAAAAAAGGCACTTTATAGCATTCTTTAGGACCATATTCACATTTAGTGTCTGGAGCGAATGAGGACTAACACAACCAATGCTCTTTAATTTGATGGTATCCGCAGTTTTCCTAATGTTCCAGTAAAATGAAATCTATGAAAAACTTTTTTTTAGATATACATATATAAATAATTAGGCCTTCCTAGTAAACTCACTTTTCTCTGTCAATATCAGATAAATATACTATATAAATAATATAGCATGTATGCTCACCCTAATTACTGCAGTATTTTCTATGATGAATAGTCGACAGGTAGAACGCCACAGCAGATACATCCCTTTTTCCGTAACATCAAAATGAACAATCCCACTCTTGATATATTGATCTTATGGTTAATCTGTAAAATTGGAGAAGAAAAACGAATAAACTACACTATTTATCAATAAAAACATGAAATGCAATGAAAATTCTTACCGAAAAGCAAAATTGCAAAATTTTAAAAATGGCGATGTGGTGTCGCTTTTAATACAAGATGGCAAGATGAACTTGATGAACAAGATCTTTACAAGATGCACAAATTTCATAGATTCGTAAATAATTAAAACTATAGAACATAGATGGAAAATCATATCACCAAGCTAATATTTTACGTTCAAATTAAACTTTCTATGAATCATGACAGAATCGACAATATAGTGGCGCTATAATCGCTAATTGTCTTTTCAAAAAAAAAAATTGACTGAAGTCTCCCAATACATGCAATTTTTAGGAAATAGCAGGTAGTTCGATATTTATTTTAAAAAGAAATAATGTATGTCTTCTGTCGCGAAAAGTGACAACAAATTAACAAGATGAAGTTAATGTTAATTGTACTACATATTCTCACCATGATTAGCATGTGTAACTTTAAAAAGTTCATACATGCAAAAAGAAAACCAAATTCAGATAACTAAGCTCACTTCGCTATTGACATCAAACTTATCATGGTTTATTATGACTTGTTGTCGTTTCCATAGATAAGAGATGTATGTATCTCGTATCTAAAGTATAAATTGTATCTCATATCTATGTCTAAATGACAAACATAAAAATTTAACTGATAGGTTATGATGTATCAATTTTTATTTTTGTTTATAGCTGCGGTGTACAATAACAATACAGAAATGTAGACCACAATAATAATAGGTACAAATGGATTCGCAAATAGTAATTAATAAAGAAGATAGTATTGATAAGCAGAACCAATCATTTAGTTATATTGCAATTCCTATTGATGCTTTAGATTTATCAAATCAAGAGGTTCAAACATTCCTTTCACAAAATATTATAGTAAAATCGCTACCTGACAATAAATTTTGTGTTGTCGAAACATCCCAGGTTAGTAGTAATTTGATGTTGAAAGAGCACATAATTAATTCTTAATTTTTAGAATACCACCCGACCTACTGTAATTGAATATGGTTGTAATTCTGATCCAACGTAAGTAACTGAAACTTTTGGTGTTCCTAATTTGCATATACTATTTGCTTTTAGTGACTTACTTCAAAATACACACATTACGCTTTCTACTTCTGAGAACAACAACATCATACAGCAAGAACTAGGACAAAATACAAGTCCCAAAGATGTCCAAAACAAGAAGAAAAAAAAGTTCCAGTGCAATGTTTGTTCAACAAAATTTAAAAATCCCCAATACTATGAAAATCATATGGAACAGCATCACAAAAAAAAGAAATACAAATGTGATCAGTGTTCTGCTAGCTTTAATGTACAAGACAATTTTAGGATTCATACAGCAATGCATACTAAAGGTGAACCTGCTTGCCCTTTGTGTGACAGAAAATTTCAAAGATTAGCGAGTCTTAAATCTCATCTTCTTTTGCATCAAATTGAAGAAACATTTACATGCAGTGATTGTCAATTAGAATTTGAAAACGAGGTAGGAAATTTATATAAGCTGGGATAATATCTCATCCTGACAAGGAAAATGTACATTTAAATATTTATAAAATTTACAATTTGTTAAATAGATGTCTACTCTTGTTTAGGACGAATTTAATGACCATGTAGCTTGTCATCTAAGTGATTTAGTATCTAACAGATCAGAAGGAACAACACTGAAGCGAGTTTGCAGTTATTGCAATTCTAATTTTGAATCATATAAAGAGTATAAGGAACACATTTCTTATCATATAAAGGTACATCAGTTTCTTATACAATTGATTTACTTAAAAAAATAAGTGCATTTTTTGTATAGGTAAATCGGTTATTGCATAGTGCCAAGAAAAGTAAAAGAAAAACAAATATTAATAAAGAGTATCCACACAAATGTGATGTATGTCAAAAAAGTTTTGTGAAAGTTTGTCTACTAGAAAGACATTTTAGGATACACAGTGGTGAAAAACCTTTTGTTGTAAGTATTTATTTTGTTTTAAATTGGTATAGACCTGTTATAAGCTTACAATATATATTACAAAAAAATTTCAAAGTAATATACAATTTGAAATTTACGAAAAATTTTCTTTAAAAATGAATAGTGCTGTTAAAAAGTTTTTTTTAAAGCAAATTTATATTAGAAGTTCTATTTGTACGAAAATAATTTTGTTAAATTTGGTTGGAAGAAACTGTAGTTAATTTCGTATACATCAATAGTATAATATTGTACTTATTTTAACCAAAGCATAACTATTTATACAATTAGCTAGCTATTTTCTGTTTAATCCATATTTAGTGCAATTAATGTCTTTTACAAACTTTTCATTAATTTCACTCTTTTGCAACTTAATTCTATCTGTCTATCCTATTTTTTTTTTATTTCAAATTGCACATTAGAACAGTTTTTATCACTTGACTTTTTTTATTTAAAAAAATTGTGTAATTATTTCTCCTTTGAACAATTATGCTGAAAACGTATTTGTGTTTGTAAACGTCTAGTTTTAAACAGGAATAGTTTTAACTTCTTACATAATTTTTCTTTTAAATGGTTTATTTTAGTGTAAAGAATGTAATCGTGGTTTTGCACAGAAAGGAACACTACAAATTCATATGTCAAAACACACAGGAGTTAAACCTTTTTTATGTACGCTATGTCCTGCCAGATTTTGTCAAAAAGGTGACATTTTCAGTAAATTAATTAAGTAGATTGACTAGAATGGAAAGTCTTATCATTTTTAGGTAATCTTCGAGTCCATGTAGAGAAAACCCATACAGTACCACGACCTGGTGAGAACATGTACAAATGTAACTTATGTTCGTGCATTTTTAAAAAAGTTGCATCTTTAAATGGCCATATAACTAGAATACATTCAGGTAAAAAATACGACGACATCTCAGAAGTTTTACATCAATTAAAAGAACTTGAAAAACAAACATGTGGTAAAACAAAAAATGAATGTGAAAAAAAAGATTCAATAGTTGCCCCTGAATTAGACTTAAATCTGAATTCCGATCAAACGGATATGGAAAAAAAAAATTTTGATGATAAAGTAGATTTTAAGTATGTTACATTGACTGAATCGATTGGGGGAGAAGCGGTGAGGAATTACGAAGTTAAGCAGAGGAAAGTAGGAGACGTTCGATGGTATGTTTGTTCATTTTGTATCAAGGAGTTTAAAAAACCTTCCGACCTTCTTCGACATATAAGGGTTCATACTCGTGAAAAACCGTATTCTGTAAGTAATTTAATAATAAAATACGATTATTAGGTTTTCCTGCCAAAAACAAATCATATTTTATATTTTTTTACTTTTGATACTTATAGGTAATTTCATAAGTTTCTTTCAAATATCCATTAAAAAAAGTAATAAAATGTCCAACGCAGTAAGAGTAACTGTTAGTGGAATATAAATTGTATGTAATTCTATGTTATTGACGAATGTATTTCCGTAACATAATCTAAAAATGTATCAGTTGAACTATTGTTTTAGTGTGACATATGCAAACAAAAATTTTCATTAAAGTCTACGTTATCTACACACTTAAATACTCATGTAAAAGAAAAATTATACAAGTGTAAAATTTGCGATAGATTACTTCCAACCGCCAAGGCCTTATATGTTCACACCAGGTATTTTATAACAAATAAAGCAGTAAAAATAATAATATCCTATTATTTAAAAACAATTCATTTTAGGCGTCATGAAAGGGGAGAATTAAGTAACGAGAAACAAAAAGAGAAGCATATCTCAACGTGCAATATATGTAAACGGTCTGGTTTTCAAAACGAATTAGAATTGAAATTACATATTGAAGAGCACAAAAATGATCAACAGAATGATGCCAATGATAATAAAAATAAACAACCGTTATTATTGACTCCACAAGGTAGGAATATATTAACAATTTTTTTTAAATTTACACATTTCTTTTAGTTTATTTTTATAGAGTAAAAATAAAAATAAAATATTTATAGGATTATTTCTAGATAAGTAGTCACATCAAATTTTATTAAAATTAAAAATAAATAGTGCAAATGGTAACATAAATAAAATTTAAATATTTTAGGATTACTTCCGGTAGATGCCGTAAAATCAAAAAACATGAGTCTTTCTAGAAATCAAATTAAACCTCACATATGTTCAGTTTGTTGCGCTTCATTTTCTAGAAAAGTACATCTGAAGAGGCACTTTTTGACGCATACTGGCGAAAGAAAGTTTAAATGTGAAATATGTCCTAAGTACGTATGATGCTGCTATTACTTTAATTATTTTCTTTTATGTTTCTTGTGATTTATAGGTCTTTTTATACTACATATGCTATGAATGAGCATCTCAAGTTCCATTATAATATCAAAAATCATGCGTGTAAGATTTGCGGAAAGCGTTTTGTGACGAGGGCCATTTTAAAAAGGCACTCGATAACGCATTCTACACAAAAACCATACTTTTGTCCAATTTGTAGTAAACAGTTTAAAACGATTTCGTTGTGTAGGAAGCACATGTTGACCCATTCGACTGAACGTCCTTTTGCTTGTTCTTATTGTGAAAAAACCTTTAAGACCGTTTCTATGTGTCGGGACCACATCAAAGTACACAAAAAACAAAATGAAGTACAAACACAAACAAATTATCTAATTCATATTAAAATTGTCATATTCCAATTTCAGGACGTGCCGGACTATATTCGAGTAATTCCAAGTGATGATATAAAGGGAACAGAAAATCATACAATGAAAAATGAATACAATACAGTAAATTCAAATGTAGAAAATTTGAATGCAAGTTCAATTCCTTCGACCAATATAGGTGGTATAATAAATTCTTCCGGAATTGTAAGATCCTTTTTTATTTGATGTAAATAGGACGTAACTATTTCTACTTATGGCAGGTAACAGCAGAAGTTATTGATAATCAGAAAAACCAAGGAGATCAAATTCCAATGCTGTTGCAAATTGAAAAAGTTCAAAATTCGGATCAAATTCAAATAAATAATAATATTCCCTTGGAAAATAATTCAAGTATCCAAACTATTTTTATTGATTATGATGATTTTCAAATGCGTTTATTGCCAAACTATAATTTTCTTACATCTGATTTCTCACAAGTAAAGGTGAGAATTAATGTCTTCAAAGTTTTTTAATGGATCTAGTGCAAATAAAATTGTATATTTGTTAAATAGGAGGGAAATGAAGAAGCACAGAACAATCTAGAGCAATCCAATATTTTACTGTCAATTGACCCAGCTTTAAACCAAATTAATCAAGGAAATGGAGACACTTTTTTAACCGCAAGTGTAGCAAACGTAACTGCAAGTGATTTAGTTGAAATCCAAAATTCAGGTACAAAAGAAATTTTAACCATAACTACAGTAGACTCGTGATAGTGTGAATATAGCGTAAGGGAAACCACACAGAATGTAACCAGCATATTAATTATGCTAAATCGACATATACTGTGAAGAAACAATCCTTTGGTTATGGAAACGAATAATCATTCGCAGGCCTTAAATCTCGATATTTCATTATCGCTGTTTCGTTATTGCTGTAATCCCTATCTCTGATATATTTAGTACTTCCTTAGTCATACTAGCTGATAGAGCAAACCTTGAGTTTTAGGATAGTTTCATTAGGTCAGACAGGACAGACGCTTTAAATGTTATAAACCACTGAACAGAAAAGTGATGCAATTGACCTATAGAAAGATTAAGTAGAAAAAGCCTTACAAAAAGTTTTAATTTATTTCTCTGACATAAAATGATATTTCATTGCTATTTTATGTATTTGTTGTTGTTTTTTATGAATATGTATTACTTTCTCAGGTTTGTATGCATGTTATCTTGTTGTGGATGTTTATTATATAATAAATGTAACATTCATTAAGGCTAACAAATCGATAATCTAAGCAACTGAACCTAATGTTCCTCATTAAGTGTTGTTTTCTTTAGTTCACACTATCAAATGACTACTGTGTCAGTTTTCAATAAATTTTAATTAACATCAATAAAAATTTCGAATTTTAATAGTTCTATTTCCGATTTTTCAGATGTCGAACAATCTGAACAGTTACAGTCTCGAAATTTTGATAAAATTGTAGTAACTGCGAACGTGAGTGATCTTACATTACCTCATCACAATGTTGCCTTGTTTGGTGCGGAAGATTTTGCAGATTATGGCATTAACATTGCACCACCTGAAATTGTAACTGATAAAATTACAACCAATACCTTAAAGGATGTAAAAGCACTAAGTTCCCCAGTTAACACAAAAGGTGCAGAAGAGTTGTCTCAATTAAATAATAATGGCAACCTTTCAAAAGAGAACGCCCAACAGGTTTGAATTTTTACTATTAACAATAACTGGCATTATCCAATGATTTCAATAGCAACAGTGTTAGAGATGAACAATTTTATTTTAGCAGAACGAAGCAATTCCTGAAGATTTAGATATTGAAAAACAGGTTGATCCTCGGAAAAACAAAAAAGCAACAATTTATCAATGTCCCTCCTGTTATAGAACATTTACTAAAAAGAGTACATATGTGAAGCATCATGACTATCATAAGAAAAAACAGGACAATGTATGCAAGTTTTGCTCGAAGATATTTAAGAAACCGTCTGATCTTGTAAGACATTGATTATTGTTATTGTAGTATATTATTATTATTATTACTTTATGTTCCCTTTTCTTAGGTGAGACATTTGAGAACCCATACAGGAGAACGTCCTTTTCGATGCTCACAGTGTGAAAAAAGCTTTTCGTTAAAATCGACTCTCGATTCCCATTACAAAACCCATAAACCTGGAGGTCATAAAGAGTTTAACTGTCTTGTCTGTAATTCTTACTTCAGCTCTAAATCGAGCCTGAAAGTGCACATGTTACTTCACACTGGTAATAACGTATTTAATTGTCTTTAAGAAAATGGTGTTACTTTCGTTTCTTTTTTTAGGAGCGAAGCCTTATTCCTGCCCTTCATGTCCCTTAAAATTCCGTACTACAGGACAAAGACAGTCACACATTAAAAAGCATACGAAGGAAGGAAGTAAAGACTGCAAAGCTTCAAATAACAAGTCAAAATCGTCAAAAAGAAAATTGGCAGCACAACAACTTCAAGAAATCACAGATAAAGAAAGCCAAATGTTAGCAAATGAGGTATGTTTTTGTTATAAACGTATAAACTGTAAATTTAACATTTTATATACTTCAGAAAACTGGTAAGACTGTAAAAGCAGTTTCAGAACAACAAAGCACCAAATATAGTAACAAAGCCATTGAAATGGATACCTTATTTTATCAGTTGGACTTTGAAGGAAACAGTTACATCCATGAAAATTTAGGAACCATCCCAATCTCATTCATTCAACTGGACGATGACAATCTGTTAAGGATAAGATTGGCTGCTACTGATAGTCATCTATCAGTATCAGATTTCCTTTTAACTGACATGTCAGTAGAATCAGTTTCTGCTCAGCAATCAGTCAATAATCAGACAAATAACGTGAACGATTTCACATGCTCTATATGCAAGAAAAAATTGAAGAATCAAAAGGTCTTAAAAAAACACATGAAAATTCACGAGAGGAAAAAGTATTTCTGTGACAAATGTACAAAAACGTTTGCATTTGAACATGAACTAATTGAACATAGCCAAATCCATAACGGTATCAAGAGATTCCCATGTAAACTTTGCGCCAATAAGTTTGATACGGATGCTAATCTTAAAATACATATGAAGAGGTAAGTGGATAAAGGTTTTGCATAAAATAAAAACTAGAAATACCGAAATTGTTAAAAGTGTGAGCAGCTAAATATCAATTTCTTAAAGATCCTTTTGCTTTCATATTATTTTTAGTTATTGCAAGTAGATTTTGTGAGTAATTGTTAAAGAGAACCGAAACGCTTTTTGATATAAAATAATTGATTTTAGTCTATTTTTTATAATTTATATGAGACAATTCAGTTACAATTACAGTAAACATTTGATAATATACACTCCGATTAATGTTAATAGCATATTAATTCTGCTAGGCTACAATAAATGTAACATTCATTAAGGCTAACAAATCGATAATCTAAGCAACTGAACCTAATGTTCCTCATTAAGTGTTGTTTTCTTTAGTTCACACTATCAAATGACTACTGTGTCAGTTTTCAATAAATTTTAATTAATATCATTAAAAATTTCGAATTTTAATAGTTCTATTTCCGATTTTTCAGATGTCGAACAATCTGAACAGTTACAGTCTCGAAATTTTGATAAAATTGTAGTAACTGCGAACGTGAGTGATCTTACATTACCTCATCACAATGTTGCCTTGTTTGGTGCGGAAGATTTTGCAGATTATGGCATTAACATTGCACCACCTGAAATTGTAACTGATAAAATTACAACCAATACCTTAAAGGATGTAAAAGCACTAAGTTCCCCAGTTAACACAAAAGGTGCAGAAGAGTTGTCTCAATTAAATAATAATGGCAACCTTTCAAAAGAGAACGCCCAACAGGTTTGAATTTTTACTATTAACAATAACTGGCATTATCCAATGATTTCAATAGCAACAGTGTTAGAGATGAACAATTTTATTTTAGCAGAACGAAGCAATTCCTGAANTATGATTCATAAATAGTTTGCTTTATACGATAGAACTAATTAACTGTAAAAAGATTTTTACTAATTAAAAGGATTTTATGCAAACCTTGTTTTGTTTATTCCTATTTATTATTGTTTCAAAATATTAATTGGATGAGTGACTTTTTTTCTACCATAATGGGAACATATATGATATATTTTGTTCAAATCTATGGAGTAGTCTGTAGGTACCGACTTCTCGAATGATATAAACACATAGGGGAGAGGAGTAAACAATACACACTTTTCGAGTAGTCGACCATCTTTGGTCTTAAAAAGGGTGCAAATTTTTGAAAGAACGCTAAATTTATTTTTTAACAATTTACAACTATCTTTTATAGTGTACAGGATATCCAATTTTGGCGCTTTTGCGGGGTATCTCCCTTATTTTTAAAGATAAAGGGTTGCGGTTTTTGTGATAGGTGCTACTTTTTTGTGAAATTAAAGATGGTAGCAAAATTTTCATATCCGTTGAGTTGAAAAGTATAACCGTTGAAGTTATCTTTAAACTTATTTAAGAAATTAAAAAGTATTGTTACATAATTTTTCTGTGGAATCCAATGGCGTACTTCAGTTTTTTCTAACACTTCGTTTTTTAGTTATGATGCAAACATATGTTTTTCAAATGAAACTCCCTGCTTATTATATTTTATGTTCATTAGGTACAACTTGTACATTCCAAAAATATATATAGGTATACAAAAACAAGCTAAGAATGTGTTTCACTTTTGGAAGATGTATGGGTTACAGAATTTTTGAAGGAAGTTTCACAGCACGTAGATACTGATGAAAAATTTTCCATTACTTAGTCCTACAAAAATTTGAAAAACATTGTTAAAGGTTTATGTCCAGAGTGCAGCGCTGTACGCGTGCGAAACATGGTCGCGGCAAAAAGGTAAAGGATAGAAGCGTTCGAAATGTGGTGTTAAAAGGGAATGATGAGGATATCGTGGATAGAGAAGGTTAGGAATGACGAGGTATTAGAAATAATAGGAGAACAGAGGATTCTGTATAAGGCAATAAGAAATAGGTAGGCGAGACAGGATGTCTTCTCAGGCATGAAGGGCTATTAGAAGCAGAAATAGGAGTTAAGAAGAGTAGAGGTAGATTTAGATTATATTACTGTTCACAAATAGTCAAGGATGTGGGATGTTCTGGTTTTAGGAAAATGCGAAGATTGACGATCTTATGATGATGACTTGGTAATTTATAATGCCGTTTGTTTTTAATAAGACGGTGGCCCAAGACACACTTCATGCACTTAAGGGTATTTTTAGACGATAACATTTTTCAAAGATGGATTTATACCTACAGAATGGTAAGATGGTTCCTTTTATCTCCAAATCTTTTAATTTTGGGTTTTCTCTTATGGAGTTTCATGCAAAAAAAACTCTATAAAAAACGATTCAAATTTGTAGCAGAGCTTCGTGTTGCAACTTTCTGAAATTTCTATTCCTTTTTCTTACATTTTTCTTAACGATTTCTATTTTTTTTTACATTTCTCCGCTTTATCTTTGGTCAATCTGAGACCTTTCTCCTTTTCAAGTTCATGTTTGATAGGGGTATCAGTAAGAATGGCGGATTTTCTCTTGCTTGAACGATTATTTTTAAACTTCTCTTACGTTCATTCTGTTTCTTGTTTCTGCCTCAACATTTGGTAATGGCTTCAGTTTTTTGAGACAAACGTCAGCAGTATTTCGTCAGTTGAAGTCTTTCTGCTTAAATCGATGGAATTGCTATTTGGGATTCATCCATGGGTTCGACGTCTGTGGATTCGTATTCAGAAATAGGCTCAATTGCTTTAGCATTTTACGTGACGACCCTGATGTCTTCAATGATTTTGGGATCTGGTCTATCAATCACATAGAGCTGAAACTGGATTAAAATAAGAATATTCTTGGATTTGAGATCTAATGTCGATGGTACGATGAGGGTTGCTTTCGCAGCAGTAGTGCTCGTTATTGTCAGAAAATTTCGGCACAGCTAATATATGCTTCTTCAGTCAAAATACTATAACTAGGGAAGAGTGAAGTTTTAATGATCAACGAGTGATCACTATCACATAGATAACAGACGCCTACTAGAAATCAATATAAAAAATGCAAGGGGTAAACTAACAAATGATTATTTTCGTAATTAAATGCTTATCAATCGAATGCGATCCCACACATTATATACATTTGAAAAGAGGCAAAAATTATCTTTTCCTATTTAAAAAAATACAACTTTATATCATAACTCGAAAGGGTATGATCTTTTTTTTAATTTTTCCGACACCACTGCATCCTATGTAAATAATAGTTGTTTTTTTCTAATATTACAAACAACTAAGATATGAACATGTAGTCAAAACTTTCAACTGTTTATAACTCGAAAACCAAAGAAGATAGCCAGTTTTTGAAAACACTAAAAAAGGAGATCGAGAAGCAGCCATTAATTTTTTTATATCATATATATTGGCTATTCCTCTACTGTTGGAAGAAGTAAGTAACCAAAACCCAAACCATGGCTAAACGAATTAATAAAAAATAAAGCTTTTTGGACTTATGAAAATTGTGGTATATTTTTTAAGCGATTTTCAGGTATTTAGAGACTAATCCAAACTCTAAATTAAATCATACGATTTTCTGGAACTTTATTCTTGTTAGGATATTTTTTGACGCGGATCATATTTCCGCGTTTTTTTAAATACAATATCTGTTTAATTTGAAAAAATATCCACTAATTTCCAAATTTTAAGCAATGATTTAAATTTAATGCAAGTAAAATACTTTTAGTCAATATCTCTTGTGGTTATTATCATCCCTTTAGTCAGCATTTCTTTAATGGGTGAAAATTTAAAACTATCTTTCTGCTATTTTAAGTTACACATAATTGAAATTTTGTACGCCCAGTATAACAAACACCTACCTAACATTTTTTTTAATTTTATTTGCATTCATTTTTAAGTATGTAAAATTGTTCTTGGAATTATACACAATGAAATTCGAAATACAAACCAAAGGTACACATTACAAAGTTCATCTTTAAATAATTACCTACATAGGTATTTTCAGTAACCAATTAACAGATTTATGTATATAAAACCTGTGTTTTGAGGTGAACACTTGTATAAATACTGGATTAAACAACGAAAACAAACTAAAGAACCATGAATTAAATTTAATAGTTTTTTCTAGAATTAGAATACTTTTTACGTAGATCGTAGGGTATTTTACTATGTAGAAGCCCTTGAGACTAAGGTGACCAACTATTTTTTGTTCAAAAAGAGTACACTT